ATTGGAGCGGTGTTGAATAAAATTTCTACACATCTCGCGACTAATTGCATGACTCTTCTTTCTCTCATGCTGACTATACTGCCTCGTTTCAAGGACAAACTTAATTAACGATTTACATGGCAGTGCCCTAATAAGAACAGCAAATAAAATTGTTTTTATGATAAATTGTACTATTTTTATTTTAAAGCGTTGTCAGTATTGCATTATCTTTAATGACTATTCAAATTAATGATATCATAACTTTCATGTTCATTATTGTGGCAATACTACAACGATACGGCGGAAGCACAAAAAATATAATTATAAGTAATTATGAGAACAAATAATAAAGAGCTATATTTAATTCATACTTTTTGAGAAAAATAGTGTATGAATTAATAAAACTGTTATGAACACTTGTCTGTTTTGTTAAGCAGTGTGCTATTAAAATAATGTAGTATTGTCACCATTTTGAACGTTCCTTTCTAGAGCAAGAAGATTTTTGGGCCAATAAGAATTCAAATTTTCACGGTACTTAACTTTCACCCGAACTTCAGTTTTTGTAATAAATATTTACTATTTCACAAGGTGAACGTTGTTCTTGCTGAAAGAAAAGAAGTATTTATTATAATGGTATCAATATTTAAATAGTTGTTGTATTATTGTAATTATACCAGGTGTCTCACTGTTACAAACTAAGTCCACTTATGTGGATGCGAAGTGGCAATCACATTTTTTTAAACCTTGAAAAGTTATATTTCTCTGCTTATTACGTGTTTAAATTTAAACTCATTTCAAAAATAAAATTAGTGACAATTGGATGAATTTTTAAAATACTTTTCATTCTTTAAGAATGATTACAAAACAGAAAAAAAAAGAAGTACAATTCGAAATTTATGAGACACCTCGTATATGATGTAGCTGTATTCGAAGCAGCAAAGATCTGAGTGTTTAGGAAAGAAGTATAATCATGTAATTAACTATAGATGATACATGTAAGTAATTATTTTTATGCGAGTCGAACGATCGAATGGTAGCGAAAAATCAATAGCTTCGATTCATTCACTCTTTTTAACGTGGTAATATTGGCGGATTTGTGAACCAATTGAAACTACGTTTCGCCTAGGGGAATTCCATGAACTAAGTAGAAATATTGTTTTATGTTTAGCATTTTATTTAAGAAATTTTTCTTGACGAAATTTGCAAGTATGTATTACGGAAATCAACGAGAAGATACGAGAATTAATTTACCGCTATCGGAAGTCTTGTGTAATACCTGTAAAAAATTTTCAATATCAAATATTCGATATTCAAACGGTAAATGTTTTTTTTCTTTTCTAAGTTCGCAAATTTAAAGAAATTTGAAAGAAACTGAATAAATAAATTTAAATGTACATAAGTATTATCTTTCGATTCTATAATCATCTTTGTCATTGTTGCTTCTCGTTGTTTTTCGTACATTTCGATTCGTAGATTGAACACTTGCATTTTAACTTTGATAATGGAAACAGAACGCCCATCATCCATTAGCGGCCCTCAAATTAAAGGAAATTTCTTTTTGCGATTTTATTGTATTTTCTACATTCGTTGAAATTATTATTAGGATTTGTATTATTGAATAGAGCAGCGTTTTGTTGTTTAATAAATTTTGAGTGCCTAATCCGTGACAATCTTCAAAGCCCCGTGTTTATAATCTAAAGTTCTTTACTTTAATCATAGATGTTCGCATGTCACATCTAAGTAAACCTTAACTGTCCTTTTTGCAAATTCAGTAATATCTATTAAAACTAGTTCAACTTATTCAATTTTGTTTCATCGTATCAAACTATCTCTATATTCTACAATTATATGAAAAATCCGTAATACTTTATCTTAAGTTTTTACCAATATATATTTTTATAACAATTAAACACTTTACTTTGCGAAATTTTTTACTTTCCTAATGCTTCTGTTCCAAAAAAAAAAAGTTTCAAGGTTCACGGAGCTACGATGTTTTTAATAGACTTTTTATTGTTGAAAGAGAAAGGTAATCTTCCAATTGCAGCATCATCTTATAAAAACTATACTACACACCTGTTACTGCATTCTTCGTGGTATTTCAAAGTAAAGTTACCCTTTCATTTCCTTTAAAACGAATTCTCCTAGATTTATCTGTAGAATGTGTAATGGTTTTAACTTTATAAGTAATCTCGCTAAACTCTTTAATACCTTCTAAATCTTCTGTAAGCTGAATAGTGCGATTATTCTTCAATTCGTCGTTACATTTATTTTCTCACTTGGCGAAAAAACGGAAATGTAGAAAATAGAGGAAAATGAGTCACAATTTGGAGAATACGAGGCTAGTCCCGTGATTCTGGGGCTTCATTCGGTCGATAGATCGATCGTTCGTCCAAAGAATTACACTGATTCCAACGGCTCATCTGGTATCAGCAACACCCGCTGTGATAAGCTGGGTTATGAAGCCGCCCACATTTCAAATCGTCCCTCTGCTTCTTTTCCGCAGTCCTTCCGTAAATTAGTGTTCGTCGTGCCTCGTACCGAGTATTTTTCCAGCTAAATCGTTCGAAGTAAGTTTCACAAAGGTTTTCTCGAAGTTACTTGCGTGATTATCTGTCGTCTTCTTTCTGATAGCACGTTTTAGTAGTGAAGAATGAAATTTTGAGGTTTATAAAGCAATTTTATAAAAGACAATATCTTGTTTTTAAAAAAAGATCATCAGAGATACGTGTAAAATTTTTATTTTTCGTAATTAAAACTAATCGAACTTGAATTATTACTATTGTGTGATTTGTCTAAATGACGCAATTGTGTTTGAATGACGTCTTACTTCCTTGCGTTGCTTTACTGTTTCGCAAGTGCAAATGTCTCGCAAACACTAATGAACATGAATTATCGGTAACTTCTTACATTTTGAAATAATTTGAGCGATTCTAAGATTTGTGGAATATAAACCAAAAAAAAATTTCTATTAAGATAAATGACGTTTTCGCGGACTTTTTATTAAAAATTCAATGTAATTAATAAACAACGAAATACTTATCTGTTAATTTTTAAAGTAAAAAGTTAGTCAAATGACGCAGTACTAATACTTTTTTACGTATAATATTTATGTAAGTTGTTGTATTTATCTAAATACAGTTAAAAGTGTGAGTCTTATAATTATTAAAATAATTATTTAAGTGTAGGTACATATGTATACATCATTAAATTATCAATTTTCCAATTCATATAGTTACCAACGGAGATAATTACCGGTACCGATAATACCGACTGTTTTGAAATGAGGATATTTGGTAAATTATTTCGCAATGGGAAGAAAAAGAAAAAGAGACGCGATTTCGAAAAATCTTCATCAAAAAAGAAGAATTATATACCTCAAGATAATTTCCTCCTAGCTGGAAATCAACGGAGAAGACAC